ATATTTGGTTTAAATGCCTATTATTTCAGCCGAAACTCGTTCAATCTCAAAGTAGTTTAGACGAAATTACTTGTATGGGCACTCTTTAAACAACAACAGGGTCAAAAACTGAATTTTCAAAAAAAGAAAGATTTTTTTAAATACGTTTTTTTACTGGGTTTTTTTCAATATTTTTACGGCATCCCTCATTGATACTTAACCTACCCTGTAGCTAAGACACGCATTTGAATTAACACCCTGTATTTGTTTTTAGGCATTTATTTGCTTAACTCCATCTACATCAAACAAAATTCTAAGAAATCCGCAAAAAACCGCTTTGTTGTACTTACATTATAATCTACTGTACTTACCAATAGTGAAAATAAAACAACTTGTAAAACTATCCATAAAAATACTTACTCATAACTTTGACTTGCCAACAGAGCCAACTTTAACATCACAATTTTCACTAAAACTGTCACAAAAACAACATATTTCACAATTTTCGGCACAGTTTTGCTTAAATTTCTAAGAAACGCGTCATGCTATCAACCGCAACTGAATTGTCTGGCATTTTTTTTATCAGTTGTAGATACTTATGCTATATCTTATCAGGAACTCGGTTTATATGGCGATATAGTTCTAATGGACAATCTTTTTATCTGTTGTACGATTGTTCTATTAAGATTTAGCATACTAATAACGTCACTGCAGAATTTTAGCGGCAAATCAAGGCTATTCCTGTTTACACGAGCGAAATTCATACACCCCTTTCATAGTGAGATATCGTGCTCGCTTCGCTTGCTATACGTTTTGTAAATGTAGAGCACCCCTCACACTTATTTTGACGTAAAATTACGGGCTCGCTTCGCTCGGCTTATACCATGTTGTAGTAGCGTCCCATTCCACTCTATTAATTAGACGTGAAACGCAGAGCTCGCTTCGCTCGCAATATTTATTACGCGTATTGGTGTGTTCACTGTACAGTGGCGGCTGTTTCGCATATTTAGATGTAAAACTACGCGTTTATAAATATGGGGACAGTAAATGTTTTGACAACCGATGTGGCGCAGTGGTTAGCATGCCTGCCTGCCACGCAAAGGTTCCGGGTTCAATTCCCGGTGGGGTCACTCACAAAGTTGATATTTATCACTTTGTGAATCTGTTCCCAGTCTGGTTAGGACATTGCAGGCTGAACCACCTGATTGTCCGCAAGTAAGATGGTTCCGTGCTTTGGATGGGCACGTTAAGCCGTCGGTCCCGGTTGCTGTCTATGATGTCGGTCGTTACACAGCCATGTCAGAGGCCTGCTACTTGTAGTAGGCGGTTGAAAAACTCTGACACCAGGGTTCATCGGGTCGTTGAACGACTCGGTGTCCCACACGAAAAGAGAGTAAATGTTTTGACCCAGGGTTTAAAAGTGCTTTGAGCATCATCAACATAGGGGAGAATCACAAGTTACGTCCGTTTGTGCGCTGTTTTTGGGCAGCGCTATTGCATACGTTAGGAAAATGCGATTTTCCACCTTTGTATACCGTACACCACATAAACCGTATTTGTATGAGAATAAGAAAAATGTGTTACGCAGTGCAAAAATAACGAACAAACGAACGTTACCTGTGTTTCTTTCCGGGTTATCATGGGGTTATCTTATCAGTTTTCATAATATCACATCATCACTGGTCAATGAACGAGTCGATTTTTCTTTATGTATCTTTTCCCTTTTTTACGGTTTTGTTTTTCGAGAGTATGTTATTATGTGTATCTGCTTGTTATTGTTACATTTTATTATGTTATGATTTATGAATATGATTGTTGCAGGAAATGCCTGACGCGTCAAGTGTTCGTTCGCGGCGGCAAGTCGCACTGCATCGAGTCGTGTGCGGCAGACACCATGTGCGGAGAAGTTCGCGTGCCCGACCAACATCTCAACGTAAGTTTCCTACAGGGCGTCCGATGCCTCCGGTACAGGGTTTCCGACGCCTCCAGGGCGTCCGACACCATGAAATGCCTGACGCGTCAAGTGTTCGTCCGCGGCGGCAAGTCGCACTGCATCGAGTCGTGTGCGGCAGACACCATGTGCGGAGAAGTTCGCGTGCCCGACCAACATCTCAACGTAAGTTTCCTACAGGGCGTCCGATGCCTCCGGTACAGGGTTTCCGACGCCTCCAGGGCGTCCGACACCATGAAATGCCTGACGCGTCAAGTGTTCGTGCGCGCCGGCAAGTCGCACTGCATCGAGTCGTGCGCGGCAGACACCATGTGCGGAGAAGTGCGGGTTCCCGACCAACATCTCAATGTAAGTTTCCTACAGGGCGTCCAACGCCTCAGAGCGTCCGATGCCTCAGAGCGTCCGATGCCTCAGAGCGTCCGACGCCTCCAGGGCGGCAGACACCATGTGCGGAGAAGTGCGGGTTCCGGACCAACATCTCAACGTAAGTTTCCTACAGGGCGTCCGACGCCTCCGGTACAGGGCGTCTGGCGCCACCGGGGCGGCAGACACCATGTGCGGAGAAGCGCGGGCCGGACCAACATTTCAACGTAAGTTCCATTTCCTACAGGGCGTCCAATGCCTCCAATACAGAGCGTCTGAAGCCTCCAGGGAGTCCAACGCCTCCCTTCACTTTGCCTGCACATAATTTCGTTCGCTTTTAACAATATTTAACAATTTTAGCACCGTTCGATGGTTTGGTTACAAAGTACCTATTATATTGGCTATTATATTATAGTGTTATGTATATTTTGTGGTTTGGTGGAGTACCCGTCTCAATGATTATAACGTAAAATATCGCGCTCTCTTCGCTCGCAATATGAAAGTAATCTATGACGTATTGGTGTGTAGAGTAGCGAATGTGGTGTATAATATCTACGCATACAGGGAGTAACAAAAAGGGTTTAACAAGCTGAAAGGAGGTTAAGGTACTCATGAAACTCAACAACTCTCCCGAAGGAACATGGGTCGAATTATGAAAAAAGAATTTGGGCCTCCCATACAAAATCGCCAATCAGCTGATTGGATTTTCTGGGAGGTCCAATTAATTTTTTCATATTTTGACTAATGTTTCATAGCGAAAGTTGTTCCGTTTCATGAGTTCCTTGACGTCCTTTCGGCTTGTTTCTTCTGGGTAATATTCCCGGTATAAGTTACTGTTGATTATGCTGGGAGTTTCATTCCGTCCCACGGGAGTAAAGGGTATAACAAGCCGAAAATAGGTCAAGATTCCCCATGAAACATGGGTCAAATAAAATCTGATGGGCGATTCTCTATGGGATTGAGAAGTCAATTTTTTGAACCGAGGTTTTCATAACATGAGAACTAATTAAGTACCTATAATATTTTTACTTTTCACTTTTTGCCTGTTCCATGTGCTAAATAATTGTTCGGTTTCCTAAGCACAGGGGCTCTTATTCTGTATTTATGAGTACCTTGACCGCCTTTCGGCTTGATGTAATCTTTTTGTTACTTGGAGGGAATTTACCAAAAAGATACCAAGTTTATAACCTTTACCTTTACTTATACTCAAATAAAATTCCAATAGCGTTCTTTATCGGCTTTTTCATTCGTTCTGACATTTGGTGTGTCCTTTTCGTTCGCGATATCTGCAACGAGATTGATCAACATCGTCGATTGGGTATCCCGCGATAGCCACCACTTATCGTCTGAAGGCTGCCTTTTCGTGGTGTAATACTGCTCGAAGTCGTTCAATTGTTTCGCCGTGGATAATCCACCTGGGACGTTGTTGAACGCTGGAAAGCGTGGGGTGATGTCTTGTGACTCGTTTGTGTCATCGTTTGCTTTTAAGGCGAATCTTGACCGGAGCCTATCGTGTTTTTTGCGTCGTTTCGTTGTTGTTGTTTTTGTTGTCGGTTGGTCTTCAGCTTCCGAGGAAGATGCCATTTCTTTATCATTCGCTCTGCTTTGGATCTCATCTACAGCTTGAGGTTCGGGCGGCTGGTTTTCTTCGTTTGCGTCTGTTGCGGTGTCCTGGTTAACCTCTATGTTAACCGCTATGGCTTCAGTTTGAACTGTCTCATCGATCTCATCCTTCAGAGTGTTCGCTTCCTCTGTGGTTTCAAAGGCATTTTCTTGTACACCTGTTACGTCATCGTAAGGCGTCGTGTATTGTACCGTTCGAGTCTCTCGTGTGGACCTCTCAGTTTCTAGTGTGGACTTCTCAGTCTCTTCTTCAAATTCAAATTCCTTCTCTTGGTTTTGAGGAAGACTTGGCTCATTATTTTTTAGTTTGATCTCTACTACGGGATTGTCTCTAAACGGTAGCATTGGCATTGCTGGTTTATGTTTTTCTCTGTTTGGTGATGTATATTGCTCTCTGTCATGTATATTTTGAATTTTCGGTTTTGTTTTCAGTTTATACGGACTGTCTTTATTTAGTTTCTGGTTTTGGTATCGATTTTTATACTGCTGGTTGTTTGGTTTGAGTTTATCATTAATCTCTTTTTTGTATTGTTTTTGCTGATTCTTCTGGAACAGTACCGGTCGTTTTTTCACTGGAATCACTTTGCTTCGGACGCTGGGAGCCTTCGGGACTGGCTCTATATTTTCTGCCACCGGAGTATCTTCGTCTGTTGGCTTCTGGATATCCTGATATTGAGGTTGAAGAGGTTTCTCCTTGATACGCTGGTTTTCATGGAGCTGCATATCTGGCATGATCTAAAAACAAACGTTATAATACTTTATCATGCTTTAATACTATAGTCACGTAGTAGAAGGGATCATGGTTGTAGCTCATGGTGACTTCTACTTAAGATTCGGTCCCGAACGAAAAAATAAACAAGACTAATATTACTGCTTGAGGCTGTGTCTCTGGCGAATTTGGAGTTTCATTCTCATCGTCAAGTGTTGGCTCCGAAATTTGGCTAACTTGTGGTTTCCGCTTTGGTGGCAGTTTCTTTAGAGGTCTGAAAAAATTGTCGGATGATTAGGCATTTCCCTACGACCAAGTAGAAAATATTTAAAATTTAAGTAACTAAACTAGCTTAACCATTGGTTTGAATTTATTTAGTCGATAGCTCGGTGGCAGAGCAGTGGAATGGTACCCCACAGGCCCCGGGTTCGACGCTCGGTCGAAAAAAAATTTGGACCTCCCGTACAAAGTGACACACTTTTTCAACATTTTTCTATGGGACGTCCAAATTTTTTTTTCGCATTTCCAAGAAAAGTTTCTAATGAAAGTTGTTCAGTTTTGCGAGTAGACCACACCCTCAAGAGATTGGTACTTAATTAAATGTAGTCGCTTTTTACGACACCCATGGGTAGAATTGGGGTGATGAAGTGATGATTCTAAGCCTTACACCACACGATATTCTATTTAAGTTCGATAAAAACCTGATAGGGAGAGGATCCCTTGGTGCTTCCACCTCCTCTTGACTCCGGTCCTCGTCTTGCATCTCTTGTTTTTCTGGATACCTGTCTCTAATTGGAGCCTGTTCTGGTTCCGGAATGTTCTGGGGGATGGTCTGCAATGGCTCCCTGTGTAAAGCCGGCGGATAATCTCGCGGAGGCGGTGGAGTGTCATATTCCTCGGCTTGACCTCGCTTCGGCATAGCTGGTTCTACGCGCGGGGGCTCCTTGTAGACTGGTTTTGGTTTAATGACCCTGCCTTCAGAGGGCCCGGCCAGGGTCGAGGGGTTGAAGTGACGGGCCTGGTCGTAGTTCACAATTGGGCTTTCACTCAAATCGTTATCTTTGATGCTTCTTGTTGAGGGGTTCGATCTGGTGAACTTTTTGTATCGCCTTGACATGGCTTAAACGAAAGAAAAGAGGAACATCAGAATCAGAGAATTTTCAGTATTTAAGTAAATAGTTGCAAGCGCTACGTAACGCGGATTGTCCGCGCGGACCAAAACTGTGAGGGTTCGTGCTAAGTTCACTCACTTCATCTGCACTGCTTGGAGAAAAGTGAACTTCCGAACGGACAACTGTGCGACGCAGCGCACGCCCTTGGTCTGTTTTAAAAGTACTGCCTCTATAGTCTTGTGATTTACCGTAATAGGTCAAACGTAATACAAGCCAGCATTGGTAAAATTACTTTCATACTTCAAGGGCATCGTTTATCAAAGTTCAATCAGAGTACTCATTCTCAGGGGGGCACGAAATGATTAGATTTGTGGTTTAGAAGTAATCAGAATCAGAATTTGATTATTTTGCGAAACGAATAACTTGTTTAGGTAGGTACTTACTATGGTTAGCTTAGTAGTTACTATGGCAGAATATAAAATGAATGGCAGAATAGAATATAAAATGGGGAAAATATTGCATGGGATATACCATACAAGCCTATGAAACTGTTCTTGGAAAACTTGCATAATTTTCCACCGCGGCCAGGATGTAAACCTGCGAATTTCGGCATCAGTACTGCCGCCGCCTCTAGCGAGTGGGCCACCGCGGCTCAATCTCAGCCTGCGAATTTAGCAAGTGTATCTTGCAGGGCTCCATCCCCCGGGATTCGCTGGCTGAGATTGAGCCACAGTCGCCCAGTTGGTAGAGGCGTCCGCACTCTTTAGTATGTAGCTGTACTCTAACGGCCTATTCAAATCCGCCTTACCTTGTCTCGCGGCTTTGCTGAGCTCAACCTTCGGGATGTCAACGTTTTCCGCTGGTCTGTGGACGGTCTCCATGTTCTGATCATTCTCCTTCGACACGCTTTTCTCGCGGACTTTTTCTGCCTCTTGCCTCTCTGACTGCTGCCGGCCAATATCTTTCTGGACATAAAAGTTACGATGAAGAAAGTTACGTAAAAAAACGGCCAAGAGCGTATCAGACATGCCCATTAGGTTTCGTAGTCAACGTAGTTAACCTAAACCTAAGTAGTGAAAAAAAAAACAAGTTAATTTTGTAGCTGATTTGTTTGCAGCAGCTGTACTTATGGTTTCGTTACAAAGCGTAAATTGAAAATCCTTTCTTTTTTTTAAAACTTAAGTGATACTAGCACGATTTTCGTCACAATGATCCATGTGTCAAGAATAACAAGAATAGTGGGTCGGTTAGCGTAAAAAAAAAAGGCCCCCTCTCTCTCTCTCTCTCTCTTCGTGTGGGACAACGAGTTGTTCAACGACCCGATGAACCCTGGTATCAGAGTTTTTCAACCGCCTACTGCATGTGTAAAAGGCCTCCCTACTATAATAGAATACAGTTTCTCACCGCCTGCCCGGCTGTCTTCGATATGAAGTCAGCTATCGACTGCGCCATGGCCTCTGGTACGAATTTGCGGTATAACAAAACATTTCAATAGCGGCTTAAGCCGTCGGTCCCGGTTGCTGTCTCTGATGGCGGTCGTTATACAACCATGTCAGAGGCCTGTTACTTGCAGTAGGCGGTTGAAAAACTCTGGCACCAGGGTTCATCGGGTCGTTGGGCGACTTGGTATCCCACTCGAAGAAGAAGAAGGCTTCTCACCGCCTGTCCGGCTGCCTTTGATATAAAGTCAGCTATCGACTGCGCCATGGCCTCTGGTACGAATTTGCGATCTTCTCGGGTATAACAAAACATTTCGATAGCGGCTTAAGCCGTCGGTTCCGGTTGCTGTCTCTGATGGCGGTCGTTACACAACCATGTCAGAGGCCTGTTGCTTGCAGTAGTCGGTTGAAAAACTCTCACACCAGGGTTCATCGGGTCGTTGGACCACTTGGTGTCCCACTCGAAGAAGAAGAAGCCTTCTCACCGCCTGCCCGGCTGCCTTCGATATGAAATCAGCTATGGACTGCGCCATGGCCTCTGGCACGAATTTCCTCGCGATCTTCTCAGATCCATCGTATATCATTTCGATACCGAGTTTTAGTAAACTAACAGCGACATCTATCGGCTAACAAACAGTGTCTCACCGCCTGTCCGGCTGCTTTTGATATGAAGTCGGCTATCGACTGCGCCATGGCCTCTGGCACGAATTTGCGCGCGATCTTCTCGAGTCTAAACATTTCGATAGCGGGTTTTGGTAAACTAACAACGACATCTATTAGCTTACAATATGTGGCGCAGTGGCTAGTAAGTACGACTGCCTGCGACGCAGAAGGTTCCGGGTTCAATTCCCGGTGGGGTCACTCACAAAGTTGATATTTATCACTTTGTGAATCGGCTCCCAGTCTGTTTAGGACATTGCAGGCTGAGCCACCTGATTGTCAAGCAAAGCAAAATGGTTCCGTGCTTCGGATGGGCACGTGAAGCCGTCGGTCCCGGTTGCTGTCCATGATAGCGGTCGTTACACAACCTTGTCAGAGGCCTGTTGCTTGCAGTAGGCGGTTGAAAAACTCTGACACCAGGGTTCATCGGGTCGTTGGGCGATTTGGTGTCCCACTCCAAGAAAAAGAAGGCTTCTTACCGCTTGTCCGGCTGCCTTAGATATAAAATCAGCTATCGACTGCGCCATGGCCTCTGGTACGAATTTGCGATCTTCTCGGGTATAACAAAACATTTCGATAGCGCGTTTTGGTAAACTAACAGCGACATCTATTGGCTAACAAACAGTTCTCACCGCCTGCCCGGCTGCCTTTGATATGAAATCAGCTATCGACTGCGCCATGGCCTCTGGCACGAATTTCCGCGCTCTTCTCAAGTACTTATAACAAAACATTTCAATAGCGCGTTTTAGTAAACTAACAACGACATCTATTGGCTAACAAACAGTTCTCACCGCCTGCCCGGCTGCCTTCGATATAAAATCAGCAATGGACTGCGCCATGGCCTCTGGTACGAATTTGCGGTATTTAACAAAACATTTCGATAGCGGCTTAAGCTGTCGGCCCGGTTGCTGTCTCTGATGGCGGTCGTTACACAACCATGTCAGAGGCCTGTTGTTTGCAGTAGGCGGTTGAAAACTCTGACACCAGAGTTCATCGGGTCGTTGGACCACTTGGTGTCCCACTCGAACAAGAAGAAAGAATCTCACCGCCTGCCCGGCTGCTTTTGATATAAAGTCAGCTATCGACTGCGCCATGGCCTCTGGCACGAATTTCCTTGCGATCTTCTTCACATCCTCGATGTTGGCTGTCAGCAGCACAAACGCCTGCGTACAGTGCGCCACGATCAGTACAAGACCTAAGGACAAGCAAGAGATTGGTTAGTTTTGCTTTGCTTTTGAGTGACTACAATTCTTGCCACGGCAAGGAACTATGGACGGGATGATGGCAGGTGGCGAGTACGGAAAAATGCTGAAATTGAAGAGCTAGCGCCCCAGCACAACATGATCGGGGAGACGAAGGCTCACCGACTCTATTGGCTTGGTCACAGAAAGGATAGGGGAGGATCGGGGAGTAAAAAGAGCGTACGTGGATTGTCCAGGTACCGCTGGAGAGACGTGGTAGAGGCTGACCTGCGCGATCTTCGAGCCAGCAATAGGCGGGAGATCGTGCAGGACAGGGATCAGTGGAAAGAGCTCGTTTCAGAGGCCAAGATCATCTTTGGGTTACTGAGTCAGTGGAGTTAGTTAGTTCTTTCAAACCTACACCTGACTATTTGGCGGAAAGCGAGGGCACACCCGGAATCCGGAAGTGTTTGAGTGAGTGACTTGGTTAGTTTTGCGAGGGTTCAAATCTTGGCAAATGTGAAGATCTGCGTTACTCTATTCTATGCTCCAATATAGTTAAATGCGAGTTTCGTGCTGTTGACCATCGTTGCCAACACCCTTTATATATAGGGTGAAATTTTACTAGTGACCGATAGCGAAATCTCGGAACCGGCTGGTGATAAGGAACAACTTTCCCCAAGGAGACCATATGAAAATACTTGGACCTCCCATAAAATATTTCCGATCAGGTAATTTCAGTTTCTATGGGAGTTCCAAATGTTTTTTTCCATTTTTCGATCTATGTTCCTTCGGGAAAGTTGTTCCTTATCAGCCGTTTCTGAGCCTACTCCTACGCCACCCCTGTAGAAAATCTTGGAGTGTTTTACGCAAGATACCCAAATAAGATTTTGAGAATTTGCTCACCAGCTATCCGAATTCTGTTCGAAAACATTATTATTTATTACACATTTCAAAAATATAAAACATTTATTTTCATATTTACATGTTCACGACAATTTTATGGCCATTTTTTAATAGGTATTATTGCCCATGGATGGAGATTGCGATGCAAA